TCTTCATTTCGTTCAAAATTAATTCGTTATCAACCTCTTATTGTTATCTATTTAATTAAAGGTGATTTAATAGATAAATATACCAATCATCATAAATTATGGAATTATTGTAGAGAAAATAAAAAATTATTGAATTATTAGCAAAAAAAGAACCAAAAGCAATGTGTCATTTAGCAATTGAACATGTTAATCAATTGGAAAAACATAAAAGAGTTTTACCGGCATTTATTCTATCCAAAGAAAAACGAATGTTTGATAAAGCTTTAGATGGAATGATTCAATTGATAACATTAGTTGCTTCTCATCAACCAGGTTTATTAAATGAAATTGGCTTCATTCTTTGAATTTCTCTTTTCATCTTTTTAGGTATAATTAAATATGAATTACCATCGAATTCTTCAGGCACAGAACTATCTATTTTTCTATTTCCTCGTTCATTTTCGATAGATAAATTATGTTCGCCTCTTTTTTATATTATATGAAACATGTAAATGGTCTCTAAATAATACAGACTATCTCGTTTCCTGTATGTTAGGCAATGATATAAGATCACAAAAAATGTCTTTTCTTCGTCAACGACGCAAATGATTTTTTGATATTGTCGTTGAAGAACGTATTGTTAAAGAAGAATTTCTAAATAAATTGTTAAAAAATGGTACAGAAATTGATTTGTATATATTGAGTGATTATCCAGAATTAAGTTAACCATTGGCTCGACATTTATTTGAACAACTTGATCAATCTGAATTAATTAGTGCTGAAGAACATGCATCTTTTCTTCGTTATGAACTAATAAATTCAGAAATTTTCAATCAATTTTTATCGCTTTTTCAACAATGTGGTTCAGATGTGAACAACAGAAAACTAATGTATTCGTTTTTTCTTCAATGTGCTGTTTCAACAGGATTCGAGGCAGAATATAAACAGAACAGAAAAGACTAGTAGTATCCTTTGATCGCTATCTTATCAAAAAATTTGTCTTGTGGAGTATAGAATTCTATTGAGAAATAAGAAGATAAAAACAGAATTTTAGTGTGCGACAATCAAATCGATTTTTTGCAAAAACACATAGTCTACAGAATTCTGAATTCTGCTCGATAGACATTCTGCAACTGCTAGTATATAGTCACATTTCTCTGTCATACGGTCGTGCCTATTTCATGCAAGCATGTATCTGCAACTGCTTGTCCTACGACGAAAAGGTTGATCATCATCCTGTGTACGCTAAGTATGATAAGTTTCTTTTCTAATGAGAACAGCTGTCAAATCTTCGGTAAAAAGCAAAACAATGCATTTTTATAAAAATCTTCCTTGATATTGGAGTTTTAGAAATCTTTTTTTTGTTATTTATTGATTTCGTAAGTGCTTTATTAGTGCTCATTGGTAATAGATCAACATCTAAATTGTATTTAAAATTTCATGATAATCAAGATGCATTTTTTAATATGCAATAGACTCTTAATTGAACATAAGTATATCGTAATAAATTATTTCAGGAAATATAATTAGAAGAATCCTTGAAAGAAATGCAAAAACATCAAGGAAGTAAGTGCACCATCTGGGCACCAAATTTCATTATAAGATACTGGAAAAGTGCTGTGATGCTCATACATATTTGAAATCAGATTAGAAATTAAAATGATAGCTATGACTGAGAGTCTTACTATCTTAATTCGATTTTTTCAATGAAGACAAGAATTTTTCGAAAATAGCGACTTTTTTTTATAAAACTTGCCTACAAGTTTCTGCGATCGACGAGTTCAAATCTCTAATCAGTTTTTCAAAATCCTTAAGTTCGATTTTTCCGATCAATGAAAGCCTATGTCCAACAAATAGCTGAATGTAATGAAACGTGAGTAAACCATAGGAAGTAGACTTCCTTTCACCAGAAAAATCGAACTAAAGGATTTTGAAAAACAAATTAGAGATTCAGATTCGTCGATCCTGAAAATCTTTAGCCAAGCTTTAGAAGAAAAGTCGCTATGTCCAAAAAATAGCTTTGTCTTTACGAAAAAAAATGAATTAACATAGTACGACTCCCACTCATATCTATCACCTTTATTTTCAGTTTAATTTCAAATATGTATTAATAACACAGCACCTTCAATAGCAAAAGGTACTTAGAATTCCAAACCTGCACGTTCCTTCTTTAAAAAATGCTTCTACGAATTAAGAGTAATGTACAAATCCACGTTTTACATCCATTTTCATTACAATCAATTATAAAAATTTATCATCTAGATGAACTTATTCTTATGGTTGAATATTAATTAGGTTTTCATTTATAAAAAAAACAATCTCATTCGGTCAAACTATTAAATCTTCTTACTACTGAGATTCTACCAACAGAAAATATTTTATCACATAGCTTTTAAACTTTCTAGTACGTAAGACTCTTTAAAAAATGAATTATAAAAACAAATTTAAAAGACAAAAGAGAAACTTTATGTGTCAATATCATTGATTAAATGTTAAATAAAGAGATTGATTTTTATTAATGAATAGTATATTTATTTTTGAGTATTTTCATTTTTTTTTTGTTTCACATTAGTTGTACAAGACAAACAACATCAAAACTATTTTCTTTGTTTTTATTCTTTAACATCTGCATGGTGATATCAACTTCTTTCGAACTTCTCTATTGATTTTGAACAATAAACCAATGTCAATCAAAAGACAAACCGAAGGAAGAATTTCCAATGCTGCATAAATAGCAATGCTCTGTTCTAATTGATAATCAATTACGGCTAATATGCTTATGGGTCCATAACCAATTATATTAAATAATAAAGCCATTATTAAAATATATTTCATTAATAATTGATAATCTATTTCAATAGAATTTCTTTGTTCAGCAGGATATATTTGATTATTTGTTGTTTCACTTATTTTGAATATATTCATTATGATAAAAATCATTAAATGAAGAAATACAGGTAATGCAAGAAGAAATGCTATACTATAAACGACAAAAAATCGATTTGGAACAATTCCCAAACAAATGTAGAAATTTGACATTAATATTTGAGGTAATGGAAGCAAATAACTGCATAACCATTGAATACCAACGCAAATTCTAAATTCAACAAGTATTTATTATATTCATTTGAATTTTTTTTACAAAAAAAACAAAGAATACTCAACTGAAAACTGTTATTTTTTTTGGATTACGATTAATCAATTAACCCAAGATGGATATGATGATTAGCATAGGAAGAATATTTGATCGAATTCAACAGTTATTTTTTTGTAAGATTCCTGGCACTAGGATTCTGACGAGATTTTTAGATGACTTGAAGATACTTCTGGTGATTAGATTCTCATAAGATTAGAGTATGGGATTGTCCGATCGAGAATCTCGAGAAAGAATTTTTTGTTGATATATTTAAAGTATAGTAAGATTATTTAAGTCTCATCAAGAATCACTTGTACTTATGAGAAGAAGTTAAATTTTGTGAAAGAATTTTCTTTGAAAAACTTAAAATCCAACATACCCAAACCAAAGTAAACTTTTCTTTCTCCATTCTTGTGGTCCTATTTGATGCATACAAAATATGACAAAAGAATAAGCTACTTGTCCTTGTGCAATATCTTCAAGAAAATGTTCTAATGTACACACTCGTACAGCCAAAATTGTTTGATATGTTGGTGCTAATGGTAACATAGCAAAAACTGAATTGATAATTGCAAAAATTATCATAGCTAAGCATATATTGAACAGAAGCCATTGTCGTTTAGATGATCGAAGTTGATCATGAAAACATCCACCCAATAGAAATAACAAAGCGCCAACGAAAATACTCAAATTTAAAACCAAACGAATCAAATGAAAGATCAGATACACACGTTTTTCAATATCTGTCGCCATATTTTTTTGTTTTGTTAAATAATAATGACTATTTTCTCAGCTCGTTAGAAAATGAGAATGACATTTTCTTTAAAAAAAGAAATTAACCTTTTCTTTTCTCGATAATAATATTTTCCACTTGAAATAGAAATTAAAAGATGACAAGATGAGACTCTTTGTAGATTGATGGTTATTATTATAGAAAATTTTTTTTTTCTATTCATAAAAGATATACAATTATATTTCAAGTTGACAACATACTACCTGATATTATATTTAATTGTGTAAAAAAAATTAATTTTTTATCCAATTTTCTCATAAACTTTTTAAATCATAGTTTAGTTGCAATGTTTTATCTAGAATTTCCCTTTCGTATGTAGAGGCTATTTGAAACTCCGAGAGAACGATCATATAGTCTATGGACGTGAAACAAATCTAATCTTTACAAGAATATTATTGTTTCAGTTCTTTCGATTGATAAAACATTGATTCACTAAATGAATAAAAAACAGCTTATTGCAGTTTATGTAAAATATTGATCAGATCATTTTATATGATAAAAATTCATTCATATATTTGAAAAACGTGACAAATCAGTATAGACACTTCAATTTAATCCCTCATATGCATCGTCACTAAACCAAACTGTTAACATTTACTTGTTTTAATACGTTTCACTTAAACGCAGTTCAGTAAATAATCATGGGTAAACCTATGTAATGAATATTATGCATTTATGAAAAGATTTTCAAGACGAAAATTTCGAAAGACTGTTAAACCCATGTTACCATAAAACGCATTTTTGACGCATTTAAATGTGTCTGGAATTGAAACAGCCTCCAAACGCATTAAAATGCGTTCATCATATGGGTGTTTGAACACGTTGCAAAGTCTTGCATGCGTTCAGACGCGTTTCCTGACTAAGACGCATCACAACTGATTTACATTAGCTTTTAAACGCGTTTCAACACGAACAGTTTCATTTTTGCATCGGAATGCGTTCATAACTGGAAATAATATTAACTTAGACGCGTTTCAATGCAATTGCTTTTACTTTTCCATCTAAACGCGCTTATCCTATATGCAACTAATGCTTTTGGGTTCCAATCGTGCATGTTAATGTAGTTTCTTTTTCTCTTTTGCGTAGATAAGATGTATCTGAACGCGTTTCTAGCTGCAAGTGCATATAGTGCTATCCATAATGCAGATTAATTCGTCACGGTACACGTGACTTGATCTCGAATAGTAAACTGAACTGCGTGTTTTTTATTCAAAAAAGCATAAAAATTATATAGACGACGTATTCAAGTCTTACTGCGTTTCGACTTCTTAAAAACGACTCTTTTTGATAATCTGCAATTTAAAATATCAGTGTCTAGCATTGCATGAAACAGAATATAAACACAAATAGTTGAATATGAGAAATCTCATCATATTTGTGTTCATCATATAAAGTCATGAAGACTTAGTTAATTGGTGAAATAGAAATACATGAGTACACGTATCAAATTTTGAAATGTACAGAACATTCATTCGAAAACGGTATTACAACAATATTATTTTGTTACATGTCACTACCACCACTTTTTTTTCACGAAATCAATTTCGCTCTTGTATAGTACATACGTTACACGTACCAATTTAAATTTCAAAATAGATAAAATTTAAGTGCTAAGCAAAAATGTTCACTTAAACTCAAACATGAAGTTTAAAGTTAGTTTCTATCTAAACCTATTAGAGATACAAACAGATAAGAAGTAGAAGAAACGAAAGAATCTAGATGTAGCTCAGACACAATTGTAGAGTTGCTTTCAAACACAACTTGAAACAGAACTGCGTATGAATCTGGCTAAAAACAAGTTAAAATGGCGTCTAAATATGGTCAGAACACAATATGTGCATTTAGACACTATTGCCATCGTGCATTTAGATGCCTCCATGTACAACAAATATGTTATCTGGGTTGGTTATGAACGCATTTACAATGCATTTAATGATTATGTGTTAAAGTCTAAAGTTTTTTTCTGCTTCTTCATATACGAATTCTTACACTAAAGAGTCATATATGACAGAAGAAACAAAATGTATATAATTGTCTACAAAAAACTCAATTTTTTAAATTTATTTTCTTTAAGTTCCACTAATTTTTTAGAAAAGTAAATCCTATAAAATTTATCTTCACTTCGCTATGATTAAGAATTTCATTCAAAGTAAAAAAGAAAAAGAAAAAATAATTACTTAATTGGAATTTAAAATTTAAATTAATTTTTTTTTTTACTTTAAAAAGACAAAAAAGTTAAGATGCTGCATCCATTGAACATTTATTGAATAAGCAATTAATTATCGAAAAAACCGTTTTTCTCATATTCTGTGATCCAAAGATTATAATTATTATTTTTATAAAGTTAATCATATGTAACCGATGTCATGTATGCAATTTTAAGTGACACTGATAAATTAAAAAAATGAAAGTATTTCCAAGTTTATATAATTTAATGAAGTAA